ATCACCTCATCCCTTATATGATAATCTATATATATATATATATATATATATATATATATATATATATATATATATATATATATATATATATATATATATATATATATATATATATATATGTTATAAATTGGTATGATAATTAAAATATTAAAACACTAACTATACAGTACTGTACATGCAGTTTCGACTAATTTATTACATGTCTATCGACGTACTCTATACCAAGACACCAAATTCAAGTTTAGCTCTTCTAAAATATACTAACAGAATTCCAGGTCATAATAACTGAAATCGAAGCTGGGTAAAACTATTTGAATTTTGAGACTTTATACTTAAAGGGTATTGGCAATAAAAAATTTTATTGCTTTATCTGAAAGAGCATAAAAAAATAAGCCGATTGGCCATTTACTGCTCTATTCTATCTCATCTGGTTCCGAAGTGATACGCAAAAATGTGCAAAATATAAATTGCTGATTCAGCACAACATGGACGTCATTAGTTGGGTAAGTATGTTTATTGAATAGTAAACTGAAGCATAGCTCAGTTATTATTGGCTCAAATTAGTTTTGACCAGTATACTATTGACTGTAGTTTGTATGGCACTGAGTTGGTGGCTTAACGATGAACCCTACATACAAGGGTGACTCTGGTGTCTTAATTCACGGATTCCTATACAAATCAGACTTAAGTATATAGTAAAGTCGCACAACGCCAGTAATAAAAAAGGGTTAATTCAGCTAAGATCCTACGTAACTATAACCCCAAAATATAATTTTTGGTATGGGTAATTTTTGGGTCATTCTAAGAAGAAATGTTATACTGTATTTCACTGTCAATGTTTCCGAACATGATGTCATTAGATGCATTTTTTGAGCAAAATACAAAAGAAAACTAATTTCTCATTTACAGGAATGACATTATATCCGGCAACTTTGACAGTGAAAAGTTGACCAAGATCAAGAGGGTTTTTAATATAAAGATAGTGTATGTTACATTTCTTCCAGAATGACCAAAATATTACACGTATACCAAAAGTCATGTTTGGGGTGAATGGCATTTTAAAGGGTTTCCATATAATGAGACAATCTCAACGACTGCCATAAAGGTACTCACAACCAATTTCGCGCAAGTCGGAACAGATCTGCAACAATTCGTGCTTGAAAACATTATCTAGTACTATACAAAATGAACTTGATAAGGTAGTTCAGTGGCTCAATGCAAATAAATTATCAATCAATGCATCCAAAACAAAAATTGTCATTTTTAAGTGCAAAAACAAACCACTGGATTCACAGATAACAATAAAAATAAATGATGATATAATTAAACAGGTGCCTTTTGTAAAGTTCTTAGGTGTCACAATTGATCAAAAATTGACATGGACTAACCACATCAACTCAGTTTTAAAAAGCATAACTAAATCTACAGGTATGATTGCTAAATTAAGATATTATACTAGAAATTACTATCGCAAGGAAAGTGCTGCCTCCTCCTTCCATCACATAAACACGAAAAGCGCCCCTAAGACACCTGTTCAGGTGGTAGAAAAAGTGCAATCTGAATATGAAAACACTTTGCACAAAATCGAAGCTCAGCTAAATATTCCAATTGTATTGACTTACACAAATTCCCTATACTCTTCACGAAATTACTTCCTTGAAAATTCCTTCGTTCTAAACAAAGATGAAGGACTTTGTGAAAGTCTACAGGTCATGCTATGCAAGTTTTTAATGATTTGCATTATTCAAATTGTGCAGGTTTATTGGCATATCATAACCAGTTGCCATGGCTAGCTTGCCACTGAATACTGTACAATATCATATATAACAAATGATAATAATTAATACTTAAATGAATCATTTGATATGCAGAATTTAATAACAATTTCATACATAGAAATACTACCAGTAAGTCAGTTTTTGCCTCAATTATCATTTTAATGGTACTTTCAAAACTACCACTACCGCAGAACAACAGAACAATCTGCCGATGGGGAGACAAAATCTATTTTGTTGACATTTTTGTTTAATACGTCAGCTTCATATGACACCATTCATTGTGTAAATGATTAAGATTGCAATTGTTTAATATGTCAGCTTCATATGACACCATTCTTTTTATAAATGATTAAGATTGTACTCAGTCAGAACTGTAAAACTATATAATAAGAAAGAAATTGTGAGCATTATGGAAAAAAGTCAAATAATTTTTCATTCGTGTACAATTGTGTGTTACAATTTGGACATCTACTGCTCATTTGACCTTATGCATAATGATGTCACAAGGCTTGATGCCTGCGAGGAATGCTGGTCTTAAGCTATGGGCAAACTAGGAAACGTTGCAGAAACATTTGTGATTCTCGATGTTTCCTCAGACGTTTCCCTGTTCGCCCACCCTGTTCGTCCACGCCTGTTCGTCCGCAACAACGTTTCCTAGTTTGCCCAGGACTTTAGTAGTAATCGCCCAGGAAAATCAAGCCTTAAGACGTCATTATGCATAAGGTCTATTGATTTGATATACAGACATTACAGTAAAGCCTTGCCCTCGCATAAAAGAACCAGTAGGTTAAGAACCACTAGCCTGAAATTTGGGCAATTGAGCACCCAAAATACAATGTGTTGAATATAAAAAAGTATAGTGTGAAGTAAGACAATATACGAACCACTTCAGCCTGAAGTCAAAATTCACTGGTTCTTTTATACACGGCTTAATTACTGCATATCATATTCCCATAATTAAATAATAACAATATCAATAATCATTTTACTGTAATATAATAAATATATATATAACTATTTTTATTGACAATTTTCTAATTTACATACAACCTACATATTTGTAAAATTTGATATGCAATACCTTGTTGGCTTGATCTTTTGACAGAATCAGTATACAAGTGATACAACTTTATTATTGCCAACCGTCGACGATTGCCCAGCTAGCAAGATCACAACCTCGCTAGTATAAAGTATAAAATATAGCTAGTTCACACATAGCTAGCAAGTTTGGTACAGTTACACAGAGTTCACAATTCACTGCTTTTTTGAAAAACATAATATGAACGGCTCCTTTAATTTTCACTTGATTTGACCAAATGATCGCCACGAACACACAACAAAATATACACCTAGAGGAGATAGAATTCGAATTTTTATAATGTATTTTTAATATAAAAACAGACTATCACGTTCATTTACATATATAAATGAAAGTATTCAAACGTTCAAATAACTATTATTATCAACATACCTTCAAAAATATAATTCTTTTGATAGTTTTCCTCCAAAATCAAATAGTAATATTGTGAAATAAGCCTCGTGCAATGGAAAAATATGCGACATTGCCATATGGTCATGTCAAAATTAAATGTGATAGCTCCTATGAAGCTACGGCGCACCGAACGCAGCTTTCGGAAGTGATCGGATTGTCATCGTAAACTTCCTGCGTATATAAATTTGTACAAACGTCATTCGAATTCTGTGATTCGAAACGTCATTCGAAAAATGCGACCCGAATGATCGAACGAACGAACGACAAACAAATCTCAAATGCTTTGGCTAAAATACATAAGTCGCGCAGGGATCTGGCACGAGTAAAAACTGTAAACGTTGTCAAGAATAGGTGGCTGCCATCGCTTCGCTCGGCAGCAACAAATAAAAACACTTTGAAATTGATTTACTATGCATTGGTCTAACCATACCTTACGTACGGAAATCTAGTTTGGGGTAATACATATCCAACAAGATTATAGAAGTTATTAAAGATACAAAAGAAAATTGTCCGACTAATGTGTTTTAAATCTTATACAGATCATTCAGAACCTTTATTTTTTAATCTTAAAATCTTGAATATCTACAAAATTAATGATCATCTTTGCAGTCTATTTATGTATCGCTGCATGAATTATGATCAAAATTTGCCAAACCTTTACAATTATTACTTTATTCTAAATAAAGAATTGCATAATTATAATACGCGAAACTCTTCAAAATTACACGTTAGTTATAAAAGAACGAACTATCGTTTTCACACCGTTTTTAACAAGGGAATTTCGATATGGAATTGTCTTGATGAAGAAATTAAAAATCAAAAATCGTATTTTTCCTTTAAGAAAAAAGCAAAATTAAATTACTTGTTAATATAAATATTGTTAGCTAAAACATATATGATATATATTGAACCAATTTAGATTCATGTATTTAAGTTTAATCAAAACAATATAGGGGCCTTATATCAAAAGTTCAACAGGATTTCAAAAGGTCCCTAGCTCCCTTATATTATTGTATTTTAACTATATTTCTATTGTAAATATTTTTTGTGAGCAAATATATTCTATTCTATAACAGATCTGTTAAAACCTGTTATCAACAAGCCGATATCTGGATGCGTTCGCACGCCTTGTACCTGTCTGTTCTGACAGGTCCGCAACGGCCTGTCAACAGGTCTGTTACAAGCTGTTGTGACAGATCTGCAGCAATGCTGTTTTCAACAGGCCTGTCGCAAGTTGTTGTGACAGAGCTGCAGCAGTGCTGTTTTCAACAGGCCTGTCGCAAGTTGTTGACACAGAGCTGCAGCAATGCTGTTTTCAACAACTTGCGACAGACCTGTTGCAAACCGAGGAAAGCGCCTTATGAAGCTTGTGTGTCCACTATTTTGAACAAAAAACGGCCAAACAGGTTGCCATATTTCGGTTGTAGTGTTTCGTGAAATAGCCAGACTTTCATATAAACACTTATAAACAAACTTGCGAGATAATTTTTGAGCGAAACAGCCGAAAAAATACGACAAATTAAAGAAAGGTTCTTATCATAAACAATTTTCAAAATTAATTGGTCTTTAAGTACGACCGAAATATGACAACCTACTTGCATACTGCAAAATAGTACATACAATAACACAAAGCTTCAATAAGGCGTCTTCCTCGCTCGCAGATTTCACTTGAAATTGGAAAGAAATTATATAGCAGAGCCACCTCATGCAAAATGCGAATATAACATGGGATAGGAAAACATTGCGCTGATTGTTGGGAAAAATGCGCTGGTACCTCCAGTTACTATACTCTAGCACTCAATTACCTGTTCAGAGGATATGACGAAACACCTTGTGGAAGGTTATTTGAAGACGAAGAAGAAGGGAGAAAGCAAAGTGCCCGCATTGTGTGCACAATGGGACAAATACGTCTTTGATTTGTAGTTGTTATAGAAAGTTATCAAAAAAAGTTTAACATACTGAGATATACCAATTTATTGGGTCGACTATACAGCAGTTTCTTTTAAAGGTTACGATTAGTCGAATACGATTCCTATCGTGGCGTATGTACTCGAAGAATGCATGTAAAGCATGTGCAATGTAGAGAGGTGTTAACTATAGCCTACTACGTCATATAGACTCTGCTATATATAAGGTGCATGTCCGTATTTAATAGAAATGTGAGGTTCGTCTGTATTTGAAAATCATGCTGACGTCAGCACTAATAAAATACACAGTCAATTTCGCGCAAGTTGGAACAGATCTGCAACAATTCTGTTAAAACCTGTTGTCAACAAGCCGATATCTGGATGCGTTAGTAGATGATAGCCCCCATCCAGCGGAATACTAATGAGCTTGTGATTTCCCGCTATATGACGTCAGCATTTTTCCCGCCATAGGACGTCAGCATTTTTTAGGGATAAGAGTGACGTCATTTTTGGAACATTGTCGCGTAACGTTTGTTGTGTGATCTTTTGAGATGACGTCAGCAAGTATTGTCGCATAACATTTATCGCGTGATCTTTTGGAATTTTCAGATGGCGTCAGCAAGTATTTGTCGCATAACGTTATTGTAAAAAAAAAATATGATCCTTGTAAGCGCTACAATACCAGTTCGAACCGGATTTAATATACTGTATAAATTGAGGTCTTCGAGTTTACAAGAGCGTAGTGTTTACACAGCTTTCGCAGAGGAAAAAATATTTATTTTAAAATGGAAGGTTTATATGATAGGCATGATCTGTTTGCAGCAATGTCTATTTGATTTTGGGGGGAATTTGAGAGGAAATTTTTCAGGCTTCCAGGCTATTTTGAGCTACCTGATGTATTGGAGCGGAGAACATTGTGCATAAGGGCACTTTTACGTGTAGTTTAAAGTTTTAAATTGTTTTTCAGAACAATATAAATGTCTTAGTTCCTTACTTTGCTATAAAAATGTGTTTATATGTGTCTAGTTTTCAGCCGAGAAAACTTTGGCATTCCAACCTTTCATTAAAGAGTGGTTTTAATTCGGAAAGCAGGTAGCATAACACCAAAAACGTAGTAAAAATTTATTGAGCTAAAAGACCTATTACTCGTCAATATCATCAACAGTTTATATACACAGCAAGAGATTTGTATCTATGTACGTGATAGACGATTGATGCAATGATTGTGGGACATTACGAATGACCCTATACGCATGTGAACTGTGCAAATGATTTTAGAGCGAAATAATGTTGCTACGATACTGTTTTGCTTGCATAAATTTATAGGTGTTCCCCAAGGCTTCCCTCGGGGTACGTATGCGTCTTCGCATTTTGCTCATGCGTCTTCGCATTGAGTTCGCATTTTGCTCATGCGTCTTCGCATTTTTCGCATTTTGCTTCGCATTTTTCGCATTTTGCTTCGCATTTTGCTTCGCATTATTCGCATTTTGGTTCGCATTCTTCGCATTTTGCTTCGCATTCTTCGCATTTTGCTTCGCATTCTTCGCATTAAGGCCCGAAATGGCACTTTTTGGCCCGATTAGGCCCGATGAGGCCCGATGGCCCGGTAGAACCGAATGGGTTAATCAGACTACCTACCCAAACAACCTGTTAACCCTTTAAGTGGTAATGCCCCCGAACTCGCCCTACCCTGTCTGACACCAGGGGGAGAGTGCTGCCACTTAATTTATTTCTCTCTAAAAAGTCGAGGTGAAGGTGAGGTGGATGTAAGGTTGATGGGAAGTCGACGTAGGATCGATGTAAACAATTTAGAAGATGCCAGATGATCATGTTTACGACTCGAGGAACAGATGCACGAATTATGACCCAAAAAGGCCAAACGGGCTGCATAAAGGCCATACGGGCCAAAAAGGCCACCGGAACATCTCAGCCTAGCTAGCTGTTAGTCCTTCATAATAAAAGTACTTAAGACGAAATGCGCATGCGTACTCTCAATGACGTTCAAACTATTTCACCTGTATTGTCCCACAAGCAAACCAAGCATATATCCACTATATAAGTAACCACGCTGAGAGCTCTCATTTTTCATTTCTTAAGAGCGAACTATGGCTTCTTACCAGTGTGATCGATGTCTGAAACAGTTTTCGTCCTATTATAATGTCAGGCGACATAAGGCGGACCATTGTGCATATGCAAAGATTGACGATAATGCCTCGATGGATGGAGGAGGAAGTAGCTACTCAGATGAACAAAGCGTGGACTCTTTTCCAGACGAAGAAAGTGTTACGGAAACTGAGGGAGATGAAAACAGTGAGAATTCCGGAGATGATGGTGAAATAAAGGAAGAGATTGATCCTTGGGCAACCATGATTGACGATGCAAAGGCGACCGTTCGACCAGAGTATGATGAATTTATGAAAACGTTGCAAATCGATGGGCAAGAAGAAAGTGCAGCTAAGCAGAAAGCCTTTGAAAACGTTCTCCCTGAACTTCAGAAAGAATTCGCTGACGTTTACGTGGATAATTTACGATGGATGAATGCACTTAAAAATGATGCTGTGCATAGAAAGATTATGGAAACGAAGGAGACATTAGCGAACGAAGACTCGTTTGATCCTGATGAAGCTTTATCTGCAGCGGTTGACAAAAGAAAGTTTCTGTTGAAACAGCTTTTAGAAGATCAAGGACGTTTTTCAGATAGTGATGAATCGATGTAATGTTCATGTGAAATAAATATTTATTAAAACTGTATTGTGCCTTGTTTCATTGCAACAATAAGTCCTTGTAGAAAAATGGACACTAGAGTCTAGCCGTACCTTCTACTGGGCCATCGGGCCTAATCGGGCCAAAAAGTGCCATTTCGGGCCTTAATGCGAAGAATGCGAAGCAAAATGCGAAGAATGCGAAGCAAAATGCGAATGCGAAGCAAAATGCGAAAATGCAAAATGCGAAGCAAAATGCGAAAAATGCGAAGACGCATGAGCAAAATGCGAACTCAATACGAAGACGCATGAGCAAAATGCGAAGACGCATACGTACCCCGAGGGAAGCCTTGGGGAACACCTATAAATTTATGCAAGCAAAACAGTATCGTAGCAACATTATTTCGCTCTAAAATCATTTGCACAGTTCACATGCGTATAGGCTCATTCGTAATGTCCCACAATCATTGCATCAATCGTCTATCACGTACATAGATACAAATCTCTTGCTGTGTATATAAACTGTTGATGATATTGACGAGTAATAGGTCTTTTAGCTCAATAAATTTTTACTCGTTTTTGGTGTTATGCTACCTGCTTTCCGAATTAAAACCACTCTTTAATGAAAGGTTGGAATGCCAAAGTTTTCTCGGCTGAAAACTAGACACATATAAACACATTTTTATAGCAAAGTAAGGAACTAAGACATTTATATTGTTCTGAAAAACAATTTAAAACTTTAAACTACACGTAAAAGTGCCCTTATGCACAATGTTCTCCGCTCCAATACATCAGGTAGCTCAAAATAGCCTGGAAGCCTGAAAAATTTCCTCTCAAATTCCCCCCAAAATCAAATAGACATTGCTGCAAACAGATCATGCCTATCATATAAACCTTCCATTTTAAAATAAATATTTTTTCCTCTGCGAAAGCTGTGTAAACACTACGCTCTTGTAAACTCGAAGACCTCAATTTATACAGTATATTAAATCCGGTTCGAACTGGTATTGTAGCGCTTACAAGGATCATATTTTTTTTTTACAATAACGTTATGCGACAAATACTTGCTGACGCCATCTGAAAATTCCAAAAGATCACGCGATAAATGTTATGCGACAATACTTGCTGACGTCATCTCAAAAGATCACACAACAAACGTTACGCGACAATGTTCCAAAAATGACGTCACTCTTATCCCTAAAAAATGCTGACGTCCTATGGCGGGAAAAATGCTGACGTCATATAGCGGGAAATCACAAGCTCATTAGTATTCCGCTGGATGGGGGCTATCATCTACTAACGCATCCAGATATCGGCTTGTTGACAACAGGTTTTAACAGAATTGTTGCAGATCTGTTCCAACTTGCGCGAAATTGACTGTGTATTTTATTAGTGCTGACGTCAGCATGATTTTCAAATACAGACGAACCTCACATTTCTATTAAATACGGACATGCACCTTATATATAGCAGAGTCTATATGACGTAGTAGGCTATAGTTAACACCTCTCTACATTGCACATGCTTTACATGCATTCTTCGAGTACATACGCCACGATAGGAATCGTATTCGACTAATCGTAACCTTTAAAAGAAACTGCTGTATAGTCGACCCAATAAATTGGTATATCTCAGTATGTTAAACTTTTTTTGATAACGTTCTATAACAACTACAAATCAAAGGCGGGAAAAATGCTGACGTCATATAGCGGGAAATCACAAGCTCATTAGTATTCCGCTGGATGGGGGCTATCATCTACTTGCGTTCGCTCGCCTTGTACCTGTCTGTTCTGGCAGGTCCGCAACGGCCTGTCAACAGGTCTGTTACAAGCCGTTGTGACAGAGCTGCAGCAATGCTGTTTTCAACAGGCCTGTCTCGAGTTGTTGTGACAGAGATGCAGGAACGCTGTTTTCAACAGGCCTGTCGCAAGTTGTTGACACAGAGCTGCAGCAATGCTGTTTTCAACAACTTGCGACAGACCTGTTGCAAACCGAGGAAAGCGCTTTATGAAGCTTCGTGTATCCACTATTTTGAACAAAAAACGGCCAAACAGGTTGCCATATTTCGGTTGTAGTGTTTCGTAAAATAACAAGACTTAAATATAACAAACTTGCGAGATAATGTTTGAGCAAAACAGCCGAAAAAATACGACAAAGAAAGGTTCTTTATCGTAAACAATTTTCAAAATTAATTGGTCTTTAAGTGCGACCGAAGTATGACAATCTACTTGCGTATTTTTCTTCAAAACAGTGCATACACAAAACTTCAATTAGGCGTCTTCCTCGCTCGCAGATTTCACTTGAAATTGGAAGGAAATTATATAACGAATTTCATATTCATATTAACAATGAAGAACGTTGAACACTCGGTTGTTTACGTATTTTTCATTTCTTAAGCCGTCTAGATCTTGTGTTCTCATTGCCACAGTTTCTTCAAAAATCAAAACAGCTTTGAACTTGTTTGATTTTGTTTGAGGCAGTTGTTGAAATTTTGTTTGGCTCAAAACTTCAAAAGTCAAAATCAGGGCGCTTATATATAGGGCGGCGCAACGCCGTAATAATAATAATAATAATAATAATAATAATAATAATAATAATGGAAACTTTATTAAATGTTTTTCTTTACATACATATACAATCGTAAATCTCTCTCATAAAGGTAACTTACGGTTGGCTATTTGAATCACAATTATACTAAACTAAAATAACAGAACAAAGTGCATGCAATATATATATATACAATGAGATAAGTCAAATTGTTAGTAAATCCGGATTTTCCCATTCCTTATTTCGGCAGCAAAAAATGTAATATGTAGTTCTAATAGCAATAGTCATCATTTTCCTAACGCAGTACATTTGGTGGTTTTTGTCAAGACCAATACTTCCTAACATGTCTAAAAATGTTTAAAATACTCATTAATAATGCATAAACCTTGTGGCAAATCATGGCAGCCATAATATGTCACGTGGAGTGACTTTATAAAACACATGTGGCATTATATAATTGTTCATCTTAATTAGCATGATTATACTATGGTTCATCCTAATTAGTATTCTTTTGTAGTCGTATTTTAAGCTATTCAAAACACTCGTTGTCGTGTTTTATCAGATATATAACGCTCGGCTGCGCCTCGCGTTATATATCTGATAAAACACTCCTACTCGTGTTTTAAATAGTACATAACATTCTTCTGCAAAAATACCTAAAGAGCTGATGGAGAGATTTATAAATTTAACTTGGTTAAAATTTTTACCTAGCTGTCTCAATAATTCTCTATATTTATCCTTCTTCCGTTTTACGTTGTTTTTGAGGTTTGTCTCATAACCAGTGGTGAGTTCAACCACATATAAGGAACCATCAACCATTTGAGCACGATAATAACAAATCTGGGCGATACGTATCACCAGTAAGTATTGAAGGGCTTTTGAATCCATTTAGATCAGCGTAGAGAGTAGAACCGTCAACAGTTTGTAAAGTATGAGCAAGAAAGTTCAGGACTGAATTGTGTCTCCACGTAAATCGGTCGAGATAATACTGACATCCAGCTACTATGTGTAGTAATGTTTCAGGGCTAAGACAAAAAGAACAGTCTGAATTTGAAGATATTGCCCATCTGTTTAGGTTTTTGCGCGTCGGAAGAGAGTTGTTAATGTAACGAATGGTAAAGTTGTAAATGTTTTTCGGGAGCTTCGATTGGGCGATGGACCACACCTTGTTAAGCTGAGGTAAAGCGAACTTCGTGACGCTGCAGAAAAAGGATCCTTGACTGGTTAATTGGTTTAGGAGTTTGTTTTCGTGTCCAGAACGGAAATCTTTGAGAACTTCCTTAGTAGAGTTATAAGCGTCATATTGAATATTAGTATGGTTACTGGTAATAATAATAATAATAATAATATTTGATTTGGAATTTTATTACCGTGGACGTGGTTGTCTGTCGTGTTGCAGTTAGTATATAATAATCAAGTATAATTCTGTATAAAGCTATTGTTAGTATCAAATCAAGTATAAAACTCTTGTCAGTGACTCTGTTGGTACATACTTTGAGGTATTCGCTAGTGGACCCTAGTAAATTTACGCATTTATTTGGAATTTTATTACCGTGGACGTGGTCATTGTCTGTCGTGTTGCATTTACTGATTCGTCATTACTGATTGTGGATTTTTTTTTGCTAATTGATCATCACTGTTCATTGGATTCGTCTAACATGTTCTGTACTGTATAACGTACTTTGTTCCTGTTACCGTATCAATGTTGGTGTTTTTGTGATAAAGAAATTTAAATAATACGCGTTTTTATGATTTTGACCGTTGGAATTTTTTGAATTATTTGCATCTAGCGTCGTTCGTCATGGCAACAACGTTATAAATACATAAATACAAAGCCTTTTATCTTTGGAATTACCTGTTTGAACTTTGACATTACACTCAATCGTAATTTGAGATTAATATTATCATTGCTTGATTATCGCTTCCCAACATGTACAATATGTGCGGGGTTTACCCTTGAATATTATTTACATCGTTTTATAACATCTAAAATATGATCTTTCTCAAAACAGTCTATACAGTCCTTTTTGCTTGGTTGATTTTCCGCGTGGTTCGTCTCACAAATGAAGATCGTAAGACATTATTTTACTCGTCTACAAACATTCTAACCTCTCCTTGTTTTTCTCAAGCCCGTCGTATGAGAAAAGATTCGACGTCACTATCTATTCTTCGAACTGTTCGAAATGCATCTGCCTTACTACAAAGATCGTCTTTACCACTAATGTTGGTCCTCTTGGCAAACGACATGCAACTAAATCCATGTCCTTCCCATCCCATTCCTGCTAAGCCGTGTAAAACTAATCCTAACGACCTTAAAGTTCTTTACTTAAATGCCCGAAGTTTGAAGTCTTTCGTCCCTGTTGACAATGACACTTCAAATAAAGTTTGCAAAATAACCTTACTGCAGGAGTTGGTTTACGGTGGTGAATATGAAGTCTGTATTTGTGAAACTTGGTTAAACAATACAATCCTTGATACAAAACTACTCCCAGGTTTCAATCTTTTCCGTCGGGACAGGACGGGGGAGAATTGACGGTGGAGTTCTAATCGCGATTAGAGAACACCTACATGCTACTCGGCGTTGTGACCTCGAAAGAGATGGCATTGAACTTGCTGTAGTTCAACTCAGTAAAGCGAACAATGAACCAGTAATTCTTTATGTGTACTACCGTCCTCCCAACTCCTCTCCTGATGCCGGTCTCAGTCTTCTAAACAACTCCATAGCAACTAACCCGGAGTCATGTTGCATAATCCTAGTTGGTGACTTTAATATTCCTTCTATCTCCAGGTCAGGGAGCCCATCAACTCCTATTAGCACTGGTGGATGCTCCAATGGTGAAAACCTTTGTGAAGTTATCGGCGATAATTTTCTGTATCAGTTCGTAGATGGCCCAACCCACCGTGCTGGAAATAAGCTTGTTTGCTGTTTTGCAATCGGACCGAAACCCTGTCCGACGTACTAACTCTCTCCTGTGATGAACATAACTTTCCGACTGATCACTATACTATTGAATTCCTTATTCGCACAAAGTTCTGAAAAGCAAAACCTGTGCGGAGAACAGTCTATGATTGCAACCGAGCTAACTTTCCCGAACTTTGTAAAGCCTTGTCTCAAACAGATCTTCGTGTATCTCTTTCCGACAACATTGATGATTGTTGGAAGCATTGGAAGAACTTATTTTTGTCAGTTGTGTCAAGTTATGTTCCGACCAAAGTTGTTAAGGATACCAACTCTCCTCCCTGGATCGATGGAGAAGTTCGCCATCTAATCCGAAAAAAGTACACCGCCTTACGTAAATATCGCTTGAAGAAAACGCCTGAACGTAAGGTTAAACTCCGGACATTTTGTCAGCAAGTCAAGAATGTTATTCGAAAGAAACATAAAAGTATTTGGACAAAATTGAAATTTCATTTAAAGAAAATCCGAAATTGTTTTGGAATTACCATAAAGCGGCACTCCACCACCGTTCAGCATTGAATCCTGTCATATTACACAACAATGAGACAGCGATGACCCCAAAACAAAAAGCAGAACTTTTTAATTCATACTTTTGCTCCGTTTTTCGACCACTTAAAGCTTTATCTATCACTGATGATTCACCTCCCTTACTGTCGCCTGTGGAACAATTGTCTGATATAACCGTCTCGGAAGAAGAAGTTGCCCATCATCTTGCAAACTTGGATCCAACTAAGGCAACAGGCCCCGATGGTATTCCTGCTCGGGTATTGAGGGAATGCAGTTATGCCATTGCTCCAAGTCTTTGCTCACTCTTTAATCATTCATTACATACTGGTACTGTTCCATCTGAATGGAAATCAGCTGATGTTTCACCAATTCATAAGAAAGATAAGAAAGAACTAGCTATCAACTACCGTCCAATTTCACTGCTATCTATCATCAGCAAAGTCTTGGAGCGATGTGTTTGTAATCGTTTCTATGAACATATCCGAGATTCGATTAACGAAGCTCAGCATGGATTCCTTCATGGCCGTTCTTGTGCTACACAGCTTCTTTCAACGTTACATCGTATTGGACAATTGCTTGACAAAAATACCCAGACGGACATTCTATTTCTTGACTTCGCTAAAGCCTTCGACTCAGTGGATCATGTTATTCTCTTAAAGGGAAATGGCAATATATTTTTTTATTTTCCCATATGAAAGAACGTTTGAAACTATTGATAACTTGTTTTACCGATTCATCATATCTTGCTTAGTTCTTGAAATATTTCCACTTGAAGTAATGAGATGTCAGCCATCTTGGATAAAGTTTTGATCTCATTAACGATAGTTTTGGTGACGTCACAACAGGGATTAACCATACAAAAGTATTCGTCACTAACCAAATATTGATTGGTAGATGTTTTAAACGTTTCAAGTGATCTTGATATTTTCAGGAGCATACAGAGTATAATTTTGGGTGCAAAATGAGTAGTGGTTGTCTAGATAAAAATATTGCGTGACCCCTGTTGTGACGTAAAATGCATATCCACAAAAATCCAAGATGGCGGACATTTCATTTCTTTCGATTAAAATATTTGTAGAAGTAAGCAAGATATGAAAAATCGGTAAAAGAGTTTTATATATGGTTTTAAATGTTCTTTCAAACGAGAAAATAAAAAAATATATTGCCATTTCCCTTTAAGAAAGCTGAAAGATTACGGTATCGCAGGAAACCTTTACAGATGGTTCTCTGACTACCTTCATAACCGTACCCAGCGTGTTGTTGTAGAGGATGCTGCTTCGTCATGGTCCCCTGTCACTTCTGGCGTTCCACAGGGAAGCATCTTGGGTCCAATGCTTTTCTTACTCTTCATCAACGATCTTCCTGATGTCATTCCTGAATCTACATCAACAGGACTGTATGCTGATGATACCAAATTATATAGAGAAATCTCAACTCCAGAGGATTGTTCACAGCTACAAGAAGCTTTGTCGTGTGCGGATGTTTGGAGTAAGGATAACAACATCAACTTTAATCCCTCAAAATGTAAAATATTGACATTCTCCCGCCGTAAAACACCTTTTCTTTTCGAATATTATCTGGGATCATCCGAATTGAAGCGTGTGAATGATGAAGTTGATCTGGGAATCACAGTGACCAGTAACCTTTCATGGACAACCCATATCAATAAAATAAAAGTCAAGGCGAACAGGTTGCTTCGTTTGCTTAGAAGAACATGCCCCTTGCTAACAGACCGCAGTATCCGGCGTACTCTGTATCTTTCGCTCGTCAAGTCTCAATTATGCTATGCCACAGAGGTTTGGTCTCCCTCCCAATATAATAAATTAAATCTGGAGCAAGTACAAAGGCGTGCAACAAGATGGATCCTTCAATCGAAGAAAGGTGACATGACCTACAAGGACAGATTGCTGGCTGTGAATCTTTTACCACTGGCGTTTGACAGGGAAATTAAGGATTTGACATTTATGTTTAAAACTGTGCATGGTTTTTATGATTTGGATGTTTTCGATTTTGTGTCATTTGTTAATCATAGTCGTACCCGTAATTGTAATAATCCTTCTCTAGTGCTTAAAGTTCCGTCATGTAAAAGTAGCACTTTTCAGTCATCGTTCTCTAACCGTATTGTTCCACTCTGGAATCATACTTGCAAAATTGCTTCTCCTGGAGATCTTCGCAGTTTGGCAACGTTTAAATCCGTATCAAGAACATACTTCAATTTATTAAGTAGTAGTTTTGATGTTGACATGTGCTGTACGTGGTCTTTGTATCGTAGCTGTTCATGCCATAGAAATAGTTAATTCTGATGTAAACATATACCAGCTCTTCGTGTCAGGTTTTGTTTTATCCTGATTCAGCTTTCAAATTTTTAACATCAGATGATTATACAAATCTGTATTATGTATGATAACTTAAATGTGGTGCAATAGCGACCTATTTGATATTAATCAGCTGGTATATGTTTACCAATTTATAATATTGTCGTAAATATAATGATATTAGATGTAAACAAAATTCAAGAGGGTTAGTGCCTCACATGGGTCTTGAGACCCGTTCGCACTCTTGCCGTTTGAACATCGTTCAATAAAGCTGTTAAATAAACAAAACGCCAGTGATTTCGCTGATCGACGTGTGATGCGGGGCCTGGTACGCAATTTCCCGCACTACACGGTCAGCGTTGTCTTAGCAACCTGCATAGCAACAAGTAACAACGCTGTAATGAAAACAAATTTTAAAAGTTGTGAAATTAAGTTCATTTCACCCAGTTTTTAACGTTGTTTCAACTGAATAAGTTGTCTCTAGCTTTTTTATTATCATTATCAACCATGAACTATAAACAACAATAAATAAAACGAACGAAATTTTACTTTAATATCATGTTATAGTTTAATATACAGTTTGTAGTCGATCATATTGCATAATTTTTGAACGTCGTAACCAGTATAGCCTAGACTTACTAGAGAACTTAAGACTTGACTCCTAGACTTTTACATCAAATAATTAAACATTTTTTTCCAACACAGTTTAATCTTGCAGCCTTGTTCATCAGCACATCTTATTGTCTAAAACAAACATTCATGGAAAACCATAAGTAAAAATATACAATACCCAAATCTTGTTGCACTTTTCTGTCTTACACCGCAAGACAGTTGCGCTTCGTGGGGACTGTATACTATCAGAACAATACCATCGGAAATAGATCACACACGCGTACTTTAAAACTTATTTATTTAAAACTATTCAATCGATAAAATATATTACAAACAATCCTTCTGGTTTTCTCTCGTGCTTTCAGTCTGACAATCAATTCAAAGTCTATATTCATGACATACGATACATTTCTTACGTCAATCAACTAAATCACCCATTGTTTGGTCTCCTACGACGTTATCAATAGTATAATGTTACAAATTATTCTACACACTCCCCCCTTTGAGCCTGTAAGGGTCAAACATGACTTGTGTTCTCCAACGTGCATCCAATGCTGCTGCTCTCCTAGGTCTATTACTATGGACACAGCTTTCCACCTTACCCTCCGTCTTTCTCATTCATTTCCGTCTTTCCTTTCTCATTAATTTTCGTCTTTTCTTTCTGGTTATCATACCCATCCACTTCATTTTCAACTTTATTATCCTTTCTTTCTTCTGTACTGCTTCCGTTCTCATTTAACTCTACAGGATACAATTTCTGAACTGGTCTATTAAGATATACTGGATTTCCTTTAGTCATCACTTTCGCTCCTCGAACCACTTCATCTCTACCGACAATTAAACTCTCAATCCTACCTAACTTCCAAAAATCCTCTCTTAAGGTTCTCATCAAATACTAAAACTACATCTCCCTTCTTCACGTTCCTATCCCTCTTCTCCCTCTTACTTCTATGATGCTCTCTCAAATTCGTCAAGTATTCCTTTCTCCATCTCTCCCAAATGTGAACTCTCAGTTTCGCTAGATGCCTAAACCTACGCTTAACCTTTGTCTCATCATTCTCTTCAATTTTGTAACTAGTCTCGTCTGAACTTAATTCACAGACATAATACACAACTGCACAATAGGCTTTCAAACTAACATCACCAAACTCATGTAATGAACATTTGGGTTTTCCAATTAGATTTCCATACACACACCTTGGTATCATAATTTGACCTACAACTTCAAGATCATGAACCCAACCTAACCATTGCTTCAAATATTTTCCTTTTAGTTCAGAATCCCAATCTACTTTTTCCAAACACAGTGCTTGAAACAACATCTTAATACTTACTACCATTGGGCTAAGAATTCCCAATGGATCAAACAACACAGGTAATATTCTAAGAATATTGCGTTTGGTTACAGGTTGCGATTTTGCTTTCTCAACTAAACCCTGAAACAAAAACTGAAATTCATCAGTTGTACAATTCCAAGCTAACCCAAGGACTTTCTCTGATGTGTCATTTTTGCCTGTCATGCAAAGGGATGACTTAGCAAATGTTTCTTCACATGCCAAGTTTCCTCTATCAGGCTTGATTTCTTCCTTTGATTGGATTTTCTCTAATACAAGTTTACTATTACTGAGCCATTTCCTAAGCTTGAAACCCCCAGAAGCTAAATTGTTACTAGAAGCCTCATATAATGATAATGCATGCTCAGGGGTTTGTTCTCCAGTTACCAGATCATCAACATAAAAGCCGTCCTTCAACTTTCGAGTCAATTCAGGATTACCCTTCGAAAAGCGGTCAAGATGGTGTTGAAGTGTGGCATTCAGCAAAAATGGTGAACAGTTCACACCAAAAACAACTCTACAAAATCTATACTCTACTGGCTTCACCTCATCTTCATGTATGTTGCCCACCCAAAGAAATCTCAAACAATCTCTGTCACACGGATCAATTTCAATATTTAAAAAAGCCTTCTCTATATCTGCTACAAGCGCTATTCGCTTTTCTCTAAAACGCAATATAATGTGATACAACAACGGGTATAGAGGTGGCCCAACATGTAAGCAGTCATTTAAAGATACACCCTTCTTAGTCTCTTTACTCGATGCATCATACACAACCCTGACCTTAGTGGTCTTTGCATCTTTACGAACCACAGCATGATGTGGTAGATAATGGATCTTATCAGCTCTCTCTAACTCTACAACTGGTTCTATAATACCTAGCTCTAACTGTTCTTTAATTACTCTGTCATACTCTTGTAAAACTTCTGGCTCCTTCTTTAATCTTAAAAGCTGTCCCTTTAATCTCTGCACACTATACAGCTATAATTAGTTGACAATAAACTATGCCCTTCCTTCCAAGGTAAACTTACACTATATCGTTGGCCATTGAAATGTATTGAATCATTTAATAACTCACTAGCTTCCTCTTCATGCTTTATACCTAACGTTTCATAATCCCATAATTTTTCAACACATGCTTCAAGGGACCTATTCTTTGATGTTACATGCCCAATAAGGTTTATACTTACCTGTGCACACGATGTAGGACCATCATCATCTTCAGAGCTACTCTTCAGTGGACCTGACAACACCCATCCTAATTTGGTTTGTACCGCAACAGGTTCATCGCTCTTGCCCCTAACCGTACGCCCTTCTTGAAATAACCACAAATAATCTGCGCCGATCAGTAACTCTATTTCTAACACATTCTTGGTCTTACAAACATCGGAAAACCATAACCCTTACAAATGTGGGTAATCTTTCTTCCTTGTCTCTACATGCTCATTCCTAATCTGTGAAATACTGTCTACTGCATAAACTTCAATGCTAACACTCTCTCAACTTCCCAGGGTTTTCAGGCCTCGGCAGTTTGTCTCACAGGCATGGTACAATTCCCGTAGTCGACGCACATCTCGCTCGTTATGTACTGGCTTTATGTTCATTAACGCTTGAATATGGGCTCTCTGTATCGCCGTTTTCTTCCCATATCGTGTCTTCAGGAGTTCTAATGCTTCTTTATAGTTCGTTGCTGTTAACGTGAACCCTGCGATAGTTGTCTGCGCGGGACCAACCAGTAGACATTTCAAATACGCGAATTTATCTACCTCTGATAGAGCGTCATTCTGATTCACAGAGCTATCAAAGGTGTCCCAAAATTCTTGTCAATCTTGAATTTTCCCATTAAATCTTTTCACCTCTAACTTTGGGAGCTTTGCGGGAACAGTCTGTTTGGGTGTAGCGTTCATACTCAGATTCGATGGTGTACTTTGACCTTGTGGTAGTGACGGCAAGGCTTCGAACAATGCGTCATTCACGTCGAGAATTTTTTTTGTAATTCAGCTCGCGTATCATCTGTCTCCTGAATTTCTTTTTCCAGCTATTGTTCTGCGTCTTCAGCTTCGCTATTACTTAGTATCTCGACAATCTCGTTGTCTAAAGGTTTCAAGGCTTCGAGTTTCTCGCTCTGTTTCAGCACATTCTTGTCCGTCTGAGGCGTTTCATTCGTATTCGCTAAACATTCTTTTATCTTCGTTCCTATCTTCGTTGCTGAACCTCTGTGCGCTGCGCGCGTTCTTCTTTTCTTTGTCAGCTCGTCCAACGGCATTGTCGTATCTATCTCGATTCTTTCTTTCGTAATCTATCCGGTTCGCATGGACCAAGTGTTGCACTTTTCTGTCTTACACCGCAAGACAGTTGCGCTTCGTGGGGACTGTATACTATCAGAACAATACCATCGGAAATAGAACAAACACGCGTACTTTAAAACATATTTATTTTAAAACGATTCAAACGATAAAATATATAACAAACAATCCTTCTGGTTTTCTCTCGTGCTTTCAGTCTGACAATCAATTCGAAGTCTATTATTTATAACATACGATACATTTCTTACGTCAATCAACTAAATCACCCATTGTTTGGTCTCCTACGGCGTTATCAATAGTATAATGTTACAAATTATTCTACAAATATTGACAAAACCCGAAGCCCATGGATGACAAAATGTATTGCAAAATCAGTTAAGCAAAAGAACAAGTTATATAAAAAATACCTTCAACGCCCTACATAAAAAAATATACAAACAATATAAAAATAAACTAAATCATATAATAAATAAGAGCGGCAAAAAAGAAACATTACGAAGAACTGTTAATAAAATATAAAAATGATACAAAGGTACTATGGAAAACATTAAATGAGATTATGAATCGATATAAAACAAGTAGTACGTTACCAAAGGAATTTATTGGAAATAGTCCTGGAGAAAAAATTACCGATCCAAAATCAATAGCAAATAGATTCAATGATTATTTTGTAAATATTGGCCCAGGACTTGCGAAAAAACTTAGCAAAACAAATTTTGATAAATATCTCACTAATAGCTATAAAGGAAGCTTCTTTATTAATCCAATAACTAAAGATGAATTAGAAAATGAGATAAATAATTTGAATTCCAAAAAAGCCCCAGATATGATGGTATAAGCTCACAGGTAATCAAAGCGATTGGTACAGAAATTTATGAACCACTTTCACACATATTCAACTTGACTTTTCTTTCTGGAACTATTCCTGATGATCTAAAAATAGCTCTAGTTACCCCTATTTTCAAAGCAAATGAAAACAATGAATTTAAGAATTATCGGCCCATATCTGTTCTCACTTGTTTTTCTAAATTATTGGAAAAGCTTATGTATAAGAGATTAATTAGCCACATAGAAAAAAAATAAAATATTAACACAAAATCAGTATGGTTTTAGGGAAAATAGATCCACTGAACTTGCAATCATTGAACTTGTTGACAAAATCACCCAAAATCGATAAAGGAGAGTACACAATAGGTATCTTCCTCGATTTGTCAAAAGCCTTTGACACAATTAATCACAAGATTCTGATTAAAAAACTAGAACACTATGGTATACGCGGAATAACAAGACAGTGGTTTGAAGATTGCTTAAAAAACAGAAAACAGATTGTTAAATATAACCAAGTTAAATCAAAAGCAATGATAATTAAAAGTGGTGCCCCACAGGAGTCAATTCTTGGACCAATTTTATTTCTTCTCTATATCAATGATATTGAAAATTGTAGCAAATTAATTTCATTTATATTATTTGCAGATGACACTAATATATTCTATAGTAACAAGTGTCTAAAAACACTTAATAAGATAATGCAAACTGAAATTGATAAAGTTTCTGAATGGTTAAATGCGAATAAGTTATCTCTAAATACTACAAAAACAAAAGTAACATTATTCCGATCTTCAAATAAAAAAGCAAAGCAAGACATTAAAATTAACATCAATGGTAATAATATTGAACAAGTTAGAAATACACTATTCCTTGGTATTGTCATTGACGAATGTTTGACCTGGAAAGATCATATAGCTAAGGTAGCAAAGAAATTAATTAGAGCTGCTGGTATAATAGCTAAAATACGACATTTCGTAAACCGAAATACTGTAAAACTGATATACTATATGCATTAGTCTATCCAGAATTAAAAAAGTAATGAATATACAAAAAAAAATAGTGCGTTTAATGGCATTCAAATCATACTTTGATCACAGTGAACCAATTTTCAAAGATTTAAATATCCTCAAGATCTTCAAAATCAACGACTATTTAACTGCTTTATTTATGTTTCGATACCACCATTTTAATAATTTACCAGAATTTTTTATCAATATAACACGACAAATGCATCAAAACTTCATTGAAAATTGTAGCAAATTAATTTCATTTATATTATTTGCAGATGACACTAATATATTATATAGTAACAAGTGTCTAAAAACACTTAATAAGATTATGCAAACTGAAATTGATAAAGTTGCTGAATGGTTAAATGCGAATAAGTTATCTCTAAATACTACAAAAACAAAAGTAACATTATTCCGATCTTCAAATAAAAAAGCAAAGCAAGACATTAAAATTAACATCAATGATAATAATATTGAACAAGTTAGAAATACAGTATTCCTTGGTACTAAGGTAGCAAAGAAATTAATTAGAGCTGCTGGTATAATAGCTAAAATACGACATTTCGTAAACCGAAATACTGTAAAACTGATATACTATGCATTAGTCTATCCAGAATTAAAAAAGTAATGAATATACAAAAAAAAATAGTGCGTTTAATGGCATCCAAATCATACTTTGATCACAGTGAACCAATTTTCAAAGATTTAAATATCCTCAAGATCTTCAAAATCAACGACTATTTAACTGCTTTATTTATGTTTCGATACCACCATTTTAATAATTTACCAGAATTTTTTATCAATATAACACGAGAAATGCATCAAAACTTCATTGAAAATTGTAGCAAATTAATTTCATTTATATTATTTGCAGATGACACTAATATATTATATAGTAACAAGTGTCTAAAAACACTTAAAATTCTCATTAATAATTCATAAACCTTTTGGCAAATCATGTCAGCCATAATATGTCACGTGGAATGACTTTATATCTGATAGAGCATGAGGCATTATATAATGGTTCATCCTCATTAGTATGATTATATAATGGTTCATCCTAATTAGTATTCTTTTGTATTCGTATTTTAAGCTATTTAAAAGGCTCTTTGTCGTGTTTTATCAGATATATAACGCTCGGCTGCGCCTCGCGTTATATATCTGATAAAACACTCCTACTCGTGTTTTAAATAGTACTTAATAAGATTATGCAAACTGAAATTGATAAAGTTGCTGAATGGTTAAATGCGAATAAGTTATCTCTAAATACTACAAAAACAAAAGTAACATTATTCCGATCTTCAAATAAAAAAGCAAAGCAAGACATTAAAATTAACATCAATGATAATAATATTGAACAAGTTAGAAATACACTATTCCTTGGTACTAAGGTAGCAAAGAAATTAATTAGAGCTGCTGGTATAATAGCTAAAATACGACATTTCGTAAACCGAAATACTGTAAAACTGATATACTATGCATTAGTCTATCCATACTTGATTTGCGGCAACCTAACATGGGGTAAAACTTACAAAAACAGAATTAAAAAAATAATGAATATACAAAAAAAATAGTGCGTTTAATGGCATTCAAATCATACTTTGATCACAGTGAACCAATTTTCAAAGATTTAAATATCCTCAACATCTTCAAAATCAACGACTATTTAACTGCTTTATTTATGTTTCGATACCACCATCTTAATAATTTACCAGAATTTTTTTCAATATAACACGAGAAATGCATCAAAACTTCACAAATGTTATGAAAGAACAAATTATGTAGAACACACTCTCTGAAATAAAGGAGTTGACGTATGGAATTCATTAGAAACAAATTTATAGATATAAATTTCTACAGCACTTTCAAAAAGCAAATTAAACAACATTTTTTTACTATACAATGTATAAGACATGCTATAAAATATTCTGCTATATGACAAAATTAATAGTATATTGTAGTCTATATATATATATATATATATATTATATTATATATTATATATATATATATATATATATATATATATATATATATATATATATATATATATATATATATATATATATATATATATATATATTTTTTTTATTTTGTTTTTT